AATGTAGGCTCGTTAAAAACTTTGTTGAGGAAATCCCAGTAGGACAAAACGTTGGTTTCAACAAAAGAGTGTAGCGCGTGTATACTCCCCTTGTTGATTGCATCATTTCAGAACTTCTTATTGAATCCAATTCAATCCAATTTGGTTACTAGTTTCTCGAATTAAAGATTGTACTATGTGTATGCCTCGTTAAAACCCTTGTTGAAAAACCCTTTTGGAAAAAACCAATCAAGTAAAAGAGAGTACATAATAAATGTAAAATGATGCGTTGTATTGACCATCTAAATAAAAATCTTTAACTAAGAAAATCACGTGGGGAAAACTTCGTAAAAGAAAAGAGTACCTAAGTCATTAGTCTTCAAGGCCTAATCTTCTGGATTACTTTTGATTTCACTCTTCTGGAGAAAAATAATAAGAAATTGGTCTAAATACGAGTAAGAACGTTTTGAAATTCCAAAATATGACTTTCATGTTTTTATTCCCTAAATAGCAGTAATTCTGCCAAGTTTGAAAAAAATGCTATGTTTTAAGCCTAGTAATTAGAGCTTTCAAACGGGTCAATCCGACCCAACCCGACCCGACCCGTAACGGGTTATGCTTTATGTGGGTTGGGTCGGGCAACCCGTTTAATGACGGGCCAGAATTTCTTCAACCCTAACCCAACCCACCTAACCCGTGGGTTAAACGGGTTGGCCCACGGGCCAATGTAAAAAAAATATATCTAACAAAAAAACTTTAAAAATAATTACCCGGAAGTATATATTTATATTAGTAAGTAGTAACAAAGGAAATTTCGCCATTACGCTTGGTTCAATAAAAGATTTGATTTTCCAAAACAAAAGCAGTAACAAAGGAAATATAAGAAATCACGAGAATTCAATACTTGTTAAGTTTAATTAAAAAATATTAAATACTAGCTATACGAGAATTTGAAAACTATAAGAGGGTATGCGACAAAAATACTCATTGTATAAAAATAAAGATCTACACAAACCTTTAATTTTGATTGATTATTTGTAAATAATGACTATTAATTGTTAAATATTGTATCGAACTTCACATAAAAATATACTTTTCAACATTTTATTTGAATATTTATTATAGAAATAAATATTGTTTTGTCATGGTTGTAATTTTTTAATTGTAATTATAATAATATTGATAGTAAAAGAACAATATTTATGATAATAAAATTCAAAACTATATTTTTATATTTTGGCCCGCGGGCCAACCCGCAACCCGGTGGGCCAACCCACTTAAACCCGCAACCCGCGAAACCCGCAAACTAAATGGGTCAAAAATTCTCAACCCTAACCCACCAATAAATGGGTTTAAACGGGCCAGCCTGCGGGTTCCGACCCATTTTGACGGCTCTACTAATAATGCCAAATTTGGGATAAATTTACTCCTGTTCTAAAATAAAAAAACATGATAGTTTTTTTGGAATTTCAAAACTTTTTTAGTCCTCTTTAGGGAATTTACTCAAACATACTCCCTCCTTCCCAAAAAGGATCGCCAAATTGATTTTTCTTGGTCAATCTTTGACCGATGATACTTTTTAATACAAAATTATTTTGAATATAAAAATTATATCAAAATGTTCCTTATTCTAAATATTTTCATAAAAGTACAAAATTTATAAATTATATACAAATGTAATAATTAAAATCATTGTCCAAAGTTTGCCACCATTGACCAATAAAAGTCAATATGGCAAACCTTTTTGGGACGGAGGTAGTAATACTCTATATCTTATGTATCATACTCTGATGGTCCTGGATAGAGGTAAAAGTCTGGGGGGGGGGGGGGGTGAATAGACTTTTAAAGATTTTTCAATTTAAAAACTTTTCCCTTCTAGATGAGTTGATCTAAAATCTTTTGGGAGATTTATAGATGCACAGCGGAAGTCTTTAACCTTTTGATGATTAATGTGTGACACTTTCTAGCTTGAATGATGTTTGGACTTTAAACAGTGAGCAATTGGTTTGACAGTTGCCTGGATGGTAGGGAACTGCTGAGGCAACTGCTAGTGGAAAATAGGAGTTTGGTAGAGATGATTATGTGGTCTTGCACATAATGATGAGGGCTTACCGAATATGTGCTGAGCTAGGGATTATAAGAGGTTTTGCCTGAGCAGAGGTCTGAGCAGTTGGGTAGCAACCAGGGAACTGATGAGGTACCTGCTTAAGTGAAAGTGAAGATATGTGAAGGCTGATTATATAATATTGTTCAGGGTGATAAGGGCTTTTTGAAGATGTGCGTTAGTACAAGTATCTGGGAGTTTAACTGGTGCAGTGGTCTCAGCAGTTGGGTGATAGTGAGGGAACTGTTAAGGTGCCTGCTGGGTTACAGCTTGAGTTTCAGATATTTGGTTAAACAGACACCTTTGTGATGGTGTTGTGAAGATCTGGTAAAGTTAAGATGTTCAAAGAAGTATTTCTATATGAGCAGTGGGCTCAGCAGTTGGGTAGTCACCAGGGGACTGCTGAGGCAACTGCTACGTTTAAAATATGTGAATCAGAAATCTGACAGGGCGCACTTGTAGTAGTGATGTTACAAGGTTTTTGTGAAAAACTTATCTCAAAGAAAGTAAGTAATTAAGCAATAGGATAAGCAGTAGGGTCAATTAAGACTACTACTTAGGATGCTGCTGACAAACTCCAATCTTTTAGTGAGAAGTGTTGGGTGTGTGCTTTGTTGAATGAATGTAAATCAACACACGGTATATCCTGGTTCAGAGGTGGTGTAATCCTCTTACATCCAGTCCCACCCTCTTTCAGATGGATTTCCACTAAAGTATTAAGCCCAATACACTTAGTGCTAATCTAGCCTTTACAACACTTAGGCCTAGATTGAAGGTTTTTCACAATGAGTATAACACCACTCAAAGTTACTCAGTTCTTAGACTTTTCTCAAATGATCCAGTGGGGATCAAAAGGTACTCTATCTATCTAACTACACTTTAGGATTCAAACAACTGTTCTCCTAAGTGTTTACAACAATTTGTAATTAGTTTACAAGAAAGTTCTAACCTCCAACTATGAACTAAACTTCTATGATTTATCAATGAATACTTGAAAACTGGAAGTTTAGTGAAGCATGAGTCCAAGCAGAGAGTAAAGTTGAGTTCGCACTTTCTCTTTTGCTAGATAGCTCGTATATGCTTTGATGGAAGTATTTCTCTACTTAGGATGCTCAAGCTTGGTTAGAAACTTTCGTTTCAGCCTATATTTATAGGCTACTTCAGTTGATTAATCTCATCTGTTGGTTAGGATGGATTAATCTTGTGCGTTGAAGGTCTGGCAAGGATGAAATGTACATTCGTCTTCTTGTGCAGGAGCTTTTAATGCTTTTCTTTTCTTGTCTTGAATAATTGGGCTGCAGCATGGGTGTGTCTTCAGCTTCACTCCAAAAAGACGTCCCATGCTGAAGGACCTTGATGTCAATTTTGTCTTCAATAATGCAAAGGTGATCGAAACTTTTATTTTGTGACTATAATTTTTGTGTACAAATAAAATTATACTGGTAGGATTTAAATATCCTTTTTAAGGTAGATAAAGATTATCTTATTGCATTTTATCTTTCCAGCATAATTTTATTAGTCTAAAAAATTGTACATTTATTTTGTCACTTTTGGATAATTTAAATACTAATGCTCGAATTAAATTAGACACAATGTACTAGTGCAAAGTATAGTGGCATCATCAAAATCTATCAAAATTGGGTACTAACATACTCCAATATGTTATTTGAAAAATCACAAGCTGCCTCATTAAAACCTTCACCCAAGAAACTATATGAGATAAAACTTGGTTAAGGAAAAATAGTACAATTATATTTGGTCTTCTGAACCATTTATGTGTTCCACTTCACAATGACTAATTAAGACCTTCAGGACATTATATTCTAAATTAATGCTAAAATCACTCTTCTAGAGGATAATAGTCTTCCAAATGTTATGTGTCTTTCTCATTCTTTAAAAACCACAAAATACTTTGTTAAAACCTTTGGCCAAGAAAACCCGTTGAGAAAAAACTTGGCTAAAGAAAAAGAACAACACATGATCTTTTGGACCAATTAATCGTTTCACCTCAACAACAACTCATTATGTTTAGGCAAATACACACGATAAACAACTCTACATAATTTGATATGATGAAAATCTTTAATATATAAACCTCCCATCATTATTTATACCGATTTAATGGATATTAGTCACCGAACTCTTCAAGAGTTTCTAAGCATAAACAATTGTCTAAACTCATGATTCTGCAATGTGTATTTCAAGACCATCGAATTTATTGTTATTATGCACATCAAAACTTCAATAATTGAGTATTCTCAAATATTGGTGCATTAAACTTAAATGGGACATGCTTTGATCCTCATAGGATTTAAATTAGTACATAAACACTTCAGGTGTTCACAATATAATGAGTAGTTATTTTATTTCTAATATAACCAAAAATCATTTAAAAAAAAAGATTCTCATGTGTTGTTTTTAGCTTCGCTAGGTGTTTAAAAGTCGTCAACATCTTTACTCAAATATTTCATTCATAGAACAATATAAGTTTACTTCAAAAAGTTAAAGAGATTATTTATAGACTTGCATGAATAATTGCAATTTCATTGCATATATAATTTCTTCGTTGTTCAATCATTTCTGCAGGAAAGGTTGAAATTTAATATAAAGATATCTCATTTGAAACTATTTTATATACTAGGCATGAGTTTAAGTGAAAACATATAAGGAAATTAAAGTGTTCACATTATATCCTCTACGAGAGGCATTCACTACAAGTGAACTTTCACCAGCGTTGTCAAGGAGCCACTACAAAAAAGCAACATTAATAGTTGAACTCATAAAAAGCCACTCAGTGGTGGAGCCATAAAAGGCTAGAGAGCCAAAGCTTAAAATTTAATTACGAAGCCATGAATGGCTAGAAAGCCAAAGCTTAAAATTTAATTATATTTTTTATTGCTTATAAATATTTATATACTCCGTATATATGTATATACATCATAAATTTTTTCTTGGGGGGCCGAGGCCCCGCCAGCCTCCGCTTTCTCTTGCCAAATTAATCTTCATTTGGAGGAAAGCCTGAGTCTCCCATCTGATCTGTTTGCCACCAAGAAAGAGTCGGGTCGGGTTACAGACACGGCGGTTAACACCAACCGGCCGCCTTCCCGACGAGGCCGCATCATCTTCACCCCGTCATCAAGCCCGGCCCGACCTTTGGTTGAACTCAGGGGAGGCGGGAAGGCCTTACTTTTGTTGATTTTGTCGCCCGCAACCATCCCGGCCGGCTTGGTTGGTGATGGTTGCGGCGACAACGACAACTTCCCCATCAATTCCTCGATGCTCTGGCTAACATCGAAGCCAGTTTCGCAGCCCAAGCCCTCAGTACACATCTCTAGGCTTTTCGCACTCAGTGCGGATAAGGAGTGTCTCTTACGCGGCGTAGGTGGGGCCAGTTCAACGTACTTCACTTCCCCGGCCGCCGCCCCATCGTCCTCTGCCGCAGCTTGTGGCGGCAATGCATTTTTATTATCCAGCTCCTCCGCTAGAAAGCTCCATCCACCCGTATAGTTATCGCTCGTGCCGCCGCGGCTGGTCTCAGAAACGCCGTCGTCCCCGGCCGGAACATCATCGCCGCCGTCCCCGGACGGGACACCATCGCCGCTTAGAGGATTCACCATCATTTTTGTTTTTGACCGATCAAGAATTTAATGACCGGAAACAAATTACTATTGTGATGATGCAGAAATACGTGTTTATTATATAGTCATTGAAATATTGGATATTATTACTCCATGGCGATAACATATATTTGATTAGCATGTTTTTAATAAGTAACAATCACTTCATAATAAAGAAAGTATTCTTCATATATCTCAAAGGAGATATATACCATAATGGGATACATTTTGCATGCTTGTAATAAAACTATACGCCAATTGCTAGACTTTTATTATTGTAATAATAATACACGGAGTATTAAATAGTATTCCGTATAATTAAACTTATCTTAAATAAAACCTCAATGCCTCCATGCTTAACTATTTCCATGTATTGTCATTTTTACGTACTGTATTTTGACCGCGTTTTACTTGTTTATTTGCTGAAAATAATAATTAAATACTCCGTATGTATATTGATTATGATACTAGATTTTCACCCGTGTTATGAGAAACCAGAAAAATATTCAAAAAAAAATAGTTACTTTGAGTTTAAAAAAACGTTACTTTATTAAATAATTACATTTACAATCTATAAATTTTAAAATATCTTTTAAAGTAGAAGAGTTGACCCTAATAGGAGTGAAATATAATATATATGTGAATAATTACTCCTTATTTTATCCGTAATATAAGATGGGTTATGTATAGAAAAGTTCTGGAAATAGGAGTAAATGAGATTTGAAATTCCAAAATAAGACTATTATATTTTTCTTTCCGAAATAGGAGTAACATGACAGTATTTATTGCAATTTTGTAGTCATTACTGCCAAATAGTTGAAGTACTAGGTCTTAGAAATGACAATATTTACTCCCTCTGTTTCACTAAATTCTTCCAACTTTTCTTTTTGGGTCGTCCCAAAAAATATTTCAACTTCCACTTTTGGAAAAATTATGTGGTTCACATTCATTCACCTTTTTTTTACTCAACTACAATCATACATTTTCTCTTTATTCCCACTTCCTTAATTTGCGAGCCAAGTTTGACTTGGAAGAATTTATTGGGGCAGAGGGAGTAACTATTTACTATCATTAATGAAAGTATTTTTCAAACATGACAGTATTGGCTCCTATTTTGGAAAGAAAAACATATCAGTCTTATTTTAAAAAAAAACTTATTTACTCATATTTACGACAATTTCTCATTATTTTTATACCTATTAAAACATAAGTAGCTAAAGTACCTATAATCTTTTTGAACATATATACATATATTATCCTCTAACATCTAGTCATTCATGTCATTAGTTATGTACCACATAAATAAAAGTAAGATAAAATTTATTTTTAGTTTTTCATTTTTTAAGAATTTTATAATGTAAAAAACACAGGGGCAGAAAAGAAGATAGCGAAACCCTAGAGCGGTGGCGTAGATCATCGATCGACTCTTCAGCAGCTACGTCCGCGTCAGGTAATTTCTCCAGGGGCATGCTCGAGCACTGATACGATTAGTTAAATGTTCGTGAAGTAATCTCTGAATCAAAGGCGGTCGTCTCCCCTAGAATTAGGGGTTGTTTTTCTCCGCTTTCGTCTTCGACGAAGTGCAGCTTTCTTGTGCGGTTTTCGTACGCCATCCGTGAGACTCTCTTCTCCGGCAGATCGCAGCGCCTATATGGCGACCAAAGGTTGTGTATTCCTAGCGCCTATAGGGTTTGGAAGCAGTATTTTAATTTTATTGTTTGCTTGCTATTTAGTTTCAATGGTCAGACTGTTCTGTTTTATTTTTATTTTTTACTTTGCTGTAAGAATCTTGCATTAGGTTTGAGGGATGAGAGGTCTACGATATTCGTCATTGACTTTATGTTGTCCAAATTAAGTCTAGCGAGTTATAATGCTTTGTCAAAGGTGATTAACTCAGAGTCTCGGCCAAGGACGGCTGGTTACATGTGGTCCTTTTGTTATCCCACCCCAAATTTTAAAAATGGCTTAATTTTTAAGGTAAAAAATTTCGTGTAGAACTTTTTCAAAAATATTCTTTGTACCGATCCAGTCTAGTCCAGTGCTCTAGCTCCGCCCCTGGATATGGGTAAGCTGGACCCGGAGGGTCCCTTCTTGATTACTGGGTCAATAGTCCTTTTTAGCGTTTCATTAAAAAAATGTATGAGTGAAAAAACTGTATGAGTGAAAAAATTGTATTAATAATTAATTGTATAGTTAGTCTGAACTCTGAATGAAAAAGACATTGTCTTGGCGAGTTGGCCCCCCTCAGCTGTCTGCCTTTAACTGATCGTTGCATTGCAGCGTACTGCATTTAACCAGTAATTTTAGTAGCTCACTATAACGAAGCAAATGAATTTCTGAGTTGCCTGGGCTAAGATTACGGAAATTTGAGGTAATTTTGGTTTTTGAACTGATTTAGAAAGAAAAAGCAACCCAATTAAAACGTTCTTAGCCATTTCTTCTCATTGTTGTCGTTGTGCAAAATGTGATTCCAGTGTGAGGCGCGCCTCTATTAGGGGTGGGTTCGGTTCAAACGGTTCGGTTTTCACCTAAAACCAAATGTCGAACCAAAGTAAAAAGTTCGGTTCGATTCGGTTCGGTTTTATGTTCAAATATTTGGAACCACGGTTTGTTCGATTTGATTTATTTCGGTTCGGTTTCGGTTTTTTTTGGTTTTTACCAAAACAGTTTTGTTGATTAGAAAATTAGTAATTGGAAAACAAAAACAAAAAAATCAACTACATCAAACTATTATTAATAGTAATACAATACACAAACATACATAATTAAAAAAGAGAGAACAAACAAATGCACTTCAAAGCAATGAATTAGAGAGTATTGTATACTAATTTAAACATTTCCTAAATTAATTAAACACGTGAGTTTATTTGTAAATTATATACAGTGTATTCACAAGTTAAATTTTTAGTAAGTCACTTATTCTACTTTCTTTTTAGACAACGATATTTACGCTCTGAAGCTTCACGTTTCTGCTATGTGTTTTAAAGTATAGTTTATATTAATAGTATTTGTTAAATATAAAAAATTATGTGATAATAAACATACATATTATATAATATATCAACAAAACATCATTGTCATGCAACAAGTAAAAGGTAAATTATGATTTAAAATATCAATGTATTAGTATCGTAGCAATAGACTTAAGTGTATGTACAATGTTTCACTTAATGAAACCATACTTCGTACGTAGTATATATTAAATGTCAACATCTTACAAATCCTAATAAATCTAGTATCAAACATTAATTTTTGAGAATGACGAATTACTAACTAAACAAAATATTATATTTAATGGTTAATAAATAAAATAGCAAGTTTTAAAAAGTTCGGTTTATTCGGTTCGGTTCGGTTTTGAGATGTGAAAACCAAAACCGAAACCAAACAACTACGATTTGGTTCGGTTTTTTTAGTTCGGTTTCGATTTTCTTGCAGTTCGGTTGTTTTGGTTGCGGTTCGGGTTTTTTCGATCCGGTTTTCGGTTTTCGGTTTCTCCGACCCACCCCTAGCCTCTATGAGCTACATTTGGGCTTCAGTCGGTAAAAGGCGTTGTTTGTAACACGCAATGGGTAACCATACACAATTTGGATCAGTATTGATTTTTGGGGCCACTTGACAAACTTTTTGGTACTCCGTATTCATTTGTCTTGCGTGCGGCGTGCCTGCCTATCTTCTAAACCCCGTTTGATAACTCCATTTCTTACTTATCACCTTTATCGATCACCTTTATTCATCGAATACTAAACTTTAATTTCGTGTACCGAATTGTACTTTGTATATAGTAATAAGAAAAAATAAGATTGATGTTACTTTTTTGGCTGTATCGATTGAAGTTATTATAGAAGACCATTTTTACTATTTTTACATATATTTTTTTCTTTATAGTATTAATAAAATATATTCTAAATATTTTTTTTCATAAATCAATTCAAATATTCAACCATTTCAGCCAGAATTTCATAAATTTCAGCAGAATCAGCCGATTCAGCCGATTTTCGTATTACCAAACGGGCTCTCAACCTGCAACTGTATGCGAATTTTTTTTATTTGGTCAATTCATGTATTTGTGACATACGTATTTATATTTCCATTATTACGTAGGCAAAGGTCAAGGCAAAGGCGGATCCAGGAATCTGGGTTACTCTGGGCTAAAGTGCGATTATACTAGACTTAAACATTGGTGGGGTGGGCCAAATACAAAAAGTAAAAAGAATTCCACTAGAAAAGTTAAAAAAAATAATTAAAGTGCTCTTAGCTTCGGCCTATCATAGCCTGTACATAGATGCTCCCCTGGATCAAGGAATGAAATGGATCACGTGGAGGTTAGTGAGTGCAACAATGCTTGATGTACTTACTCTTATACCCACCATGTTTGTGAAGTGTTTTGTTTTGTCTGTGAACCTGATTCACAGACAATATTTTGTTTGTGGAAAATATTGTCTGTGAACCGGGATTCACAGACAAGAAAAAAAACACTTCACAAATATAGGTGGATACAAAAGTGGATATAAGAGTGGGTACAAACATCATTTTTGTAATGAAAATTCTAAAGTGTAAGAAAGGAGGGCATGGCACAAAAATGGGGACTTTTCTAGAAGTGGAAAGTGGAGAGCAACGAGGCATAATTCAATCAACTGTTTGATTCAATGCAATATTTGGACCAATGCTCTCCCAAATCATTGGTCGTACTCACTACTCAACAACACCAAATAGGATATGCGTATTTAATGATGTTTTTACTTGGATTGAAATTTGATGGGTTGGTGTGATATAATATGTTTAAGTTTGGTCTAGTCTGGTCTGGTAAATATCTGATCTCTGTGTATTTTATAACTATGGAATCTAGCTTGATCTGGTCTGATCTGGTCTATTCAAGTCTGATCTGGTTTAGTCTGAGACTGAAAATGGTCCAAGTAAAAACTTCATTATTGTAATTAGTTTCTTGTAAGCTGC